CTATAGCAGAACAGTTCAACAAAATCTAGTTACGTACCTATCGGGCGTATTAAGAGGAACATGATGAAAATGCTCCACATGTGTTGTCGTGTGTGTGATTCCATCGTGTGTGTTTGTTCTTAATGTCCAATACAATCTCGTTTGATATCATATGTCAGATAAAGCTTTTTTAATACGCAGTGCGCAAAACGCGTTTTTTCGTGGTTTTCCGTGTGCGTAACAGCTAATTTTCTAGTATGCGAAAATCGCGAAGCGTGTGTGAAACATCTGCAGAGATTCGCAATTGTCTTTCATCCTGAAGACGTCTTTGTTTATTATTTACAAACAAATTCAACTCGTGTTTGAATCGTCTGCTTCGCGCCCTTCTTACGTTAACTGCTATTTTTTATACCAGAATTATAAATGACCTTTTTTGTTGTAAGAAATTGCTGATAATCGGGCATTTTATGGTACAAAGGAAGCCGTTTTATATTTTACGGAACGAATTGTTGCGTCATCACACATTCAGCCAATCGGGCGAGGTAGAGGTAAACGGAACTGCCGACCAATGTTTTCTCACACAGATGTTAAATAAACAAGACGTCACAAAAAAGTTGATCGCAAAATTGCGTTTCATTCTCTAAAAAAATAATAAAGCTCTTATAGAAAAAATAGCACAAGCACCTTGTTTACAATGTTGCCCCATTCCATACGTAGACATTTTAAAACTCGCTCCTTACGTCGCTCGTTTTCAAAACATGTACTCGTGCAATAAAGCTTAACATTATAAACCAAACCGCAGAAACTTCTGTTTTGATTACGCGCTCCTCGCGCATTTTGGCCCAGTGCGGGACGTGCGGACGGCGACAGGCGGCGCTGTGCGGCTCCTCTGCGGCGAGTCGCAAGGGGCGACGAGGGACAACGTTGCGGAGAACCCTCTGCACCCCCCTCCTTCTCCCCACCCACTCCTCCGCCGCGCGCCCTGAGGCGGGAACTTCCCAGGGCCAAGGCGCCTGCGGCCGGCCGCAAGCCCTCAAACGCCCCAACCAGCTCGCGCGCTTCCACAATCTCGCAGAAGGCAGTCACCTGTGTTTTCCTACCGCACGCTGTTGCTGCAGACACGTTTCTTCGTCTGAATAACAATGAAACAGAGGGACTTGTAAATGCAGAAATAATGAGAAAGGAATCTAGAGGTAAATGTATTTTCCCACCATGAAATTAAAAATCCCCTCCTAATTTTCCGTTCTCTCTTAATATTTCTTTCTCTGCCAATTTTTTCTGTCCTTCATAATATTTATTTCCCTATTAATTTTCCTTTCTCTCCATATCCATTAGTCTGCCAACTGGTGGCTATTATTCGACGTACGTCCTTTTTAAGAGTTCAAAAAATGTTTCTGTTCGATATGTCGATACTTTGTCTATCGCAAATCAATGGTAGAAATAAATAAAAACTGGTTTATAATTTTTCTTTAAAAATGAACAAGGTAGGTACGAAATGATGCTGGGATTGATTGTTAGTGATAGCGGGCGCGTCAAATCCTCAGGTCATTCGTCCCGTTAGTGTAGTGCATGACTTTACTCTTGACGTGGCTGTGATCTTCGCCCTCTGAATGGCGAACTACCATCAGCTTGGGCGCTTTTCCCTAGCCAGGTATCTCCCACCAGCGGGACACTGCCCCAGCCAGGACAAGCTCTAAACTCTCGGTCCTCCTGGCATGTGTGGTAGTTTTGCGTATGTTACTGTAAGTGTGAATGTGTGTAAGAGGTTAGGAGAGGAAAAGAAAGAGGAAGGAAAGATCGCTCGCGGACCGTGGTCCTTTTGTTAGGGTAGTGCTTCACCATTTACCTTGCATTGATCGAAGACTACGAAAAACCACCGATCAGAGCAGCCGGCCGCTAGAATTTTCCTTCAAACAGCGCAGCGGCTGAAGCACTGCAGAGACATGAGCTGATGAACTGAGCCACCTCTTCCTGTCTATCTAATCGACTATTTACCTCACGTAATGTTGGCGACAATGCGCAGAGAACAAATATTTAGCATTTTCTCGCTTTGTCATTGTTTTTAATACCACAAGATAGTGGTAAAACATGTATTTATAAGCAGAATTGAAAACAACAACACTAGCGCAGAAAGACAGTTGTAGTGGTCCCACTGAACCAGGTTCGAAAACGCTCATTTACGCAAGTTACACCAACTACTACGAACAACGCCAATCTCCCTTGTATAAGTCATAATAGAATCAGTCTCTTAACAAATATATATAGAAATGTATTATTAACAACAGTAGAGTTGGTGAACCAGATACTTGAAGAGAATCACTCGCGAATTCACATGCACTTGTGCGTCCCGAAATATCTAATTAGCGCTGCTCCCGGCCCAGAGCGTCGTGCGAGCGCGCGGACACGCAAGAGTGCATGCGGGCATGTGCGTGTGCGTGTGCGTGTGCGTGCGTGTACGTGGGCGTGGGAGTGGGCGTGGACGTGGACGTGGACGTGGACGTGGGCGTGGGCGTGGACGTGGACGTGGGAGTGGACGTGGGAGTGATCGTGGGAGTGATCGTGGGAGTGGACGTGGGAGTGGACGTGGGAGTGGACGTGGGAGTGGACGTGGGAGTGGACGTGGGAGTGGACGTGGGAGTGGCCGTGGGAGTGGCCGTGGGAGTGGCCGTGGGAGTGGGCGTGGGTGTGGGTGCGGGCGCGTGAGTGGGCGTCTACGTGGGCGTGGACGTGGGCGCGTACGTGCGCGTGTGCGTGGGCGCGTACGTGGGCGTGTGCGTGGGCGCCTACGTGGGCGCGTGCGTGGACGTGTGCGTATGCGTGCGGCGCCGCGCACGCATTGATCGCGTGGGCGGCGACGCGCAGAGCTCGCCGACCGTCACTGGCGGGGAACGGCAGCGCACTGTAGCCCTGATTGGAAAAGAAGCGGACAAAAATATATTGAAAGTGACGTGCGATTTGTGAAGTCGTCTACGGTGTATTACTTGCTATTGGTATAAGGGCGATAAGCAGCAGATAATGGAGGTCGAGAAGTTGAATGGCGGCAATAGCTGAAGTGCATAACAAACTGGGTATGTTATTGCTATCCGGCCCGTGTCCTTCAATATTTTTCGTAATATCTAATTAAAACAAAAAACATAAAAATTATTTATACTGATTCCGGGCACGGAAACGGCTGTCATTAGTCCCGTACGAATAGTGCACCACCTCCCTCTGGAAGTCGAGTAGGTCTTTCCCCGCTGGATGGCGAGATCCGGCGCCGACCTACCGTCGACCTACAGCTCAATCATATACCAGTTGCGTCACAAATCACTTCCGTTGGAACAGGTGGTACAGTAATCAAAGTTTCTGTTAATTTCTCTGATTATTTTACAATTTTTCAAATATTTGCGAATTAATGTCAGAGAGCGCTTAAAATAAACCAAACTCACAAGCAACACAAAATACAAAAAATCGAACGTAACACAAAACACAAATACATTAACATAATATACAAAATAATCAAGACAAATAAAAATATGAAAATCGTGTAAATCGGTCAGTTTTTACAAACGAATTTGTTCCCCCTTTTGCGCCTTTCAAACCACCGTGCGACGGGTTGGGGGGGGCGGGGAGGGGGAGACGGAGTCGTCGCCAGGCGTCCTGGTCGGGACCGCGTGAGCGCCGCCGCCGCCGCCGCCCCCGCCCCCGTCCGTCTGCTCCGCTGAGCCCCCGTAAGCCGCACGGAAAGCGCCACGGAGACGTCTGCTCCAGAGGCGCGCACCGAAGGTGGAGCAAGGCGGCTGAAACGGCGGCTGGCGCGAGAAGCCGGGCTTAGAAGGGGCGGCAATGACGAGGAGGAGACGGGCGAGACACGGAGGAGAGGGATTTGGACGCGGCGTAACGGGTTGGCGGGAGAAGGAGACGTGAAGGCAGTTGATGAAGCAAAGATTGGCGCAACGAATTACACGAGTATCGTGCAATTGGACTTTGTTGCCTCCAATCTGCAGAGGAAATAGAATTAATTTTGAACTATTAACCGTTTCGACATAATAAAGTTCTGGTCGTTGAATTCTGTGTGTTTAATACTACAAATAAATTCCGAAAGGGGCGACATATTGCCGATGCTCGATTGTAACAAAACGGGGTCACAGAAATAATTAGGATATCAGTCATTGTGGAATTTGCACATGTTGACCCCAGTTACATGAGGTCATAGAGATTGTGGTAACGAAATACACGAGTATCGTGCAATCAAAGTTCTATGTGTCCAACGTAAAGACGAAAAGGAATTAATTTTGAGCTATCGATCAGTTCGTCACAACAAAGTTCAGGTTGTTGAATTTCAAGAGTTCAATATCAGAAATAAGTGCCGAAGACACGTGATATTGTCAACGATTGTATCCTTCAAAACGGAATCAGAGAAAATGAAAAGAAAATACGTCATTGCAAAAATTACATATGTTGACCCCCAATCCCCAGTTGGCCTGTATCATTTTTCCAATTTTTTCTGACTGTACGTAAATAAAGACACAGTGATGGGATAAATAATACTATTTTCACATTCTTTAAAAATGATTAAATATTACAAAATTGATTCACTGAGACACAATCGTTTGAGAAACGTTTGATACACGTTTGAGGAAAATACGTAACGGGATGATCATTTTATTGAAAATGCTTGGCGTCCGAAATTTATTCAGATGCGTCTGATTATATACAACAACCACAATGACGCAAGTGAAACTAAAACCGGTAACGGATGTTTGAAGCTGGGCACTGTCAGGAAAGAATGGCTTGACGGGGCATCAAGAGAGGCCACAGTAGGACGACGGTGATGGGGTGGCGGTTTTGAAGCTGGCGTGCGCGGATTTGAAGCTGGAATAGTGTGCGATATGGAGCCAAGGACGGCGGCGGAACCAGCCAAAGAGCGCGTGGCATGCTGCAGGTTATGAGCATGATGGTGAAGTAACAGGGAAAAACAAAAGAGGAATGATGATACAAGTGAAGAGAAAAGGTGATGCTGGTTCGCAGTTCTTCACTGACTAGAGGAAGTGGCTAAGTGGGCAGTCAGCAGTAATAGTAAGTAGTAGCAGGGCTGTAGCGTAGCCCGGAGACGCGAAGGAAGTGATGAAAACGGTGACGATAATGATGACGGCGCCGGTGACGGTGTAACTGCAACCGTGACGGGGTCGGTGACGGTAACGGCGACGTTGACTACCGGCGACGGTGACCGTAACGGCGACGGTGACAGTAACGGCGACAGTAACATCGACGGTGACAGTAACGGCGACGGTGACAGTAACGGTGTCGGTGACAGTAACGGCGACGCTGACGGCGACGGTGGTGGTGACCGTAAGGGTGACGGCATGCCGAGTAAAATAATGGTGAAGGCGACAGTGAAGGCCTCTGAAGTGACATGAAAGTGACGGCCAAAGGTGATGCCTGATCGGAGGTGATCTTTGCGGGGCAGCGGTTTCTGCGGGCGAAAGCGACAGGAGGGACGACGTGGACTGAAATTATGTGTCTGTAAGAAACGAGGGCAAGAATGACAGCGTTATAGGCGACGCATGCGCTATTTGAGGTGAATATTCTGCACGTGATACGAGACTTCAGAATAAATTAGACAGGCAAAGGAAGCAGAGGGGAGGTAATGTGGTGGCCTGAAAAGTGGGTTAATGATGGCAGATGGAATTTTTTGGCAAGTTGCGAAAGAAACTAGTCTCGGCAATACTTCCTATGATGGAATCTCATAATCCAAATTATAAATATCGGTCACTCCAACGTTTTACCACAAAAAATGTTTCTTCGATAACACTTATATCTTCATTACGTCATTATTACGAATCTCATTTTAGAAGCAGATTTAATTGAGACCTTGTTATATCCTTCCAGGAATTATTCTAACTTGATGTCCATAATTGACAAGGAAAAGTTGTTGAGCCATACGAATTTTGAAAGAAAAAAATGTGGCATAGCTACATGTATACTCAAGTCATTCAGGTGCAATGAAGGCTTAATATTAACATTTTAAATATAAACAAGTCTTTAATATCAATGTGTAGTGATAAATAAAAAATAATGTCTATTTTCACGAAATAATTATCAGTCTTAGTTTTCGTATTGTTAATATTAGTAGAAATGTCATGAATATGATAAACAAGAGTACATTTAAGGGAAAATAAGTTATAAAGTTGCCTACAAAAGCCCAAATCCGGGTTTAAACACATCTTTTCACGAAAGATCCCCAGCATTTCCAAAAATGTAAACATAAATTACTATAAATACTTTAAATGTAATAACAAATTAATTTTGATAACTTACTTCATGTTGAAGACGCGTTGATGATCATTTGACTGACGAATCAAATACTGGTTGGTACATGACTGCTAAATGATAAATTGGTTCTTGCAATAGAAGAACACGAAGGTCTCCAAACAGACTTGATGGACTCGCTTGACTAAAGTTTCTTGGAACTATTTATAGTTCAACACTGAAAAAAAAACTACTGCAATTGTGATTTTGCGGCCATGTTGCTGTCCGCGGGCTGTTCGACCCCGACCGCCGACTCACTTTTCTGACTACAGCGTCTCACCTTCATTGCGAATACACGAACGGTTATTCCGTGCCGTTGTGCATGAAAATATAAACGCAAAGGGCTTGCAGATAATTAAGTTTCAAAACTTTTGGCGCGCCTTACTTTCACTCACTAAGAAATGTACAAATTAAGACCTGTAAGTAGACTTAGGCAATTCTTTTCGTTGTCTTAGGAACTTATACTAAAAGTGATATGAAATGAAAAGAAAGATCGATCAACCGATAATTTTAAAATATTTAAATATGATACCGATAATTATAATTTTTTATTTTGTTTTACGTGACTTGTATAATATTGATATTCAGTGAAACTGATTATTAAATAAGCAAATTGCTTTGATTGTTCACTTTTAATACGCTCTTTAAAACCTTACAGATTTGTCGATAAAATTAATTTTTTTACAGTTAAGTTAATGATCATTTTTCAAATTTATTTGCCGTTGGTTTCATGATATTATGATAAGTACCATGGGATGCACCTATTCTATAAATTTGCTTTTAATTAATGTGAAATTTCGGACCTCTGTTTACCCTTATGGACGTTTACTGCACACATGCTGCACTCTATCAAAGGGAACGATTATTGAACTACCCATTGTATTAATGGAGTTTGGGAACTCATTTAGAGGACTTAGCGTTATCCACGCGGAGGCTTCACAGAAGCAGGACGCGCGGAACCGACAGGGAGAGTATAGCCCGACATGCGGCTGGAGGAAGAGATGACCGCTGCATGGATGCGATTGAGATGGAAGGAAGAGAGGTAGTGAGCCAGGGGTGAGATGGGCGAAGACTTGGGTCGAGAACCAGAAGGCGAAAACGTGTGGAAAGATTTGGGTCAGAAGTGGAGTAAAAGGGTAGGCGTGGCGAAGAAAGAGAGCAGTAAAGGTACAAAGAGAGCAGTAAAGGTAAAAAAAGGGACGACGGCATTGAAAAGATTGGATAACGCGTGAGAATGTAAAGCTAGGAAGGAGAGGGCGCTTCAAAAGGGGGGTTGATTGATTACAATACGTTTGCGAGCTGATAAACTTCTACAGTCATTAGTCCCGTAGGTGTAGTGCAAGTTATTTGTATTTCTCGGAAGGTGGTGATGTCCTTCCCCCTCTCCAACGCTAGATCCGACGCCGATCTCCACGTCGTCTTGCAATATTTTCCTCCTCCAAGTATTTCTGCCTGCGGGACAATGCCGCAACCGGGATAAGCTGTAAACGCCCGCCTATTCTCCCGACATGTGTGGGAGTCTAGTGTATGCAAGTGTGTTTGTGAGAAAGGGAACAGTCGCGCACAAATCTGAGAATGGAAGATCTTTCACGGTCCACCGCCCGTTTTGTAAGGCGCTGTTAAGGCATTCGTCTGGTATTAGTCAGCCTATCCTTGAAAAGGTACCAATTACAGCAGCGGCTAGACTTTTATTAAGCTAGTGTTGAAAATTCGTCAACGTCTGGACTTGAATTGTTGGACGGCCCTGCCAGAGTCGCTGCAGAGGCAAAAGTTGTTGCCCTGGGCCTTCTCAGCCAGTCCGCGGTGCGCGGGTCCAGGGTGAGGGCAGGGGGAGAGCAAAAAAGACGGGAGTGAAAGCGAGGAAAGGCAATAGCGGGGGCGGGGACGTGAACAAGGCGAGCGGGGAGAGCGCGGGCGAGGGCGGCCGGGGGTGAGGAAGGGCGCCCGGGCGGCGCCGGGGTCTATGTTGAGAGCCCGAGCGAGGACGGACCGAGGGCGGTGGACGGAGGGGAGGTG